ATAATCCAATTAAAAAATGGGCAGAGGAGCTGAATAGATAGTTCTCTAAAGAAGAAATCCGGATGGCCAACAGGCACATGAAAAGATGCTCCACATCGCTAATCATCAGAGAAATGCAAATTAAAACCACAATGAGATATCACCTCACACCAGTAAGGATCGCCATCATCGAAAAGACAAACAACAACAAATGTTTGTGAGGTTGTGGAGAAAGGGGAACCCTCCTACACTGCTGGTGGGAATGTAAACTAGTTCAACCATTGTGGAAAGCAGTATGGAGGTTCCTCAGAATGCTCAAAATAGAAATACCATTTGACCCAGGAATTCGACTTCTAGGAATTTACCCTAAGAATGCAGCACTCCAGTTTGAACAAGACAGATGCACCCCTATGTTTATCGCTGCACTGTTTACAATAGTCAAGATATGGAAGCAACCTAAGTGTCCATCAATAGATGAATGGATAAAGAAGATGTGGTACATATATACAATGGAGTATTATTCAGCCATCAGAAGAAAACAAATCCTACCATTTGCAACAACATGGCTGGAGCAAGAAGGTATTATGCTCAGTGAAATAAGCCAGGCGGAGAAACACAAGTATCAAATGATTTCACTCATCTGTGGAGTATAAGAACAAAGAAAAAACTGAAGGAGCAAAACAGCAGCGGACTTACAGAACTCAAGAATGGACTAACAGTTACCAAAGGGAAAGGGACTGGGGAGCTTGGGTGGGAAGGGAGGTATAAGGGTGGTGGAAAAAGAAAGGGGGCATTATGATTAGTATGTATAATGTGTGGGGTGGCACGGGGAGGGCTGTACAACACAGAGAAGACCAGTAGTGATTTCACAACATCTTACTATGCTGATGGACAGTGACTGTAATGGGGTATGTGGGGGGGACTTGCTGATGGGGGAGTGTAGTAAACATAATGTTCCTCGTGTAACTGTACATTAATGATACAAAAAAAACACAAAATAAAAGATAGTAAGAAGTAAAAAGAATTCTAAGGAAGTCAGGAATAGCAGATATAAGGAGCAGCCACAATACCTCAGCTGGAGAAACAGCATCCAAAAAGAGCCTCTACCTGGGCCTCCCTGGGACTGAAATCCAGAAATTTCTGGAGAGAGCACAAGCGTTGCTGGGGTGCTACTCTGGTGGAATTTGCTGGCCATCTCCCTTTAGGGTGCCAGAGAAAACTGTTCATGGGAAGGTGACTCACCAGAGGCACATACCAGGAGAAGGTGCTGGCCACTAGGTGCTGCAGGCCATTGGGTGCTGCCAGAGCCTAGCAGTGGAGAAGCTGCCCAGACTACAGAAGCTGGGGGCGGGGGACCCACGTGCACTGTAGGAGCCTGCCAGTAGGGCTCACTGGAACCAGGATGCAATCCTTTCTCTGTGCAATGTCTCCCCAGCTGCCTCTTGGCAGAACTTAATATGATGCCAGTTGGCAAAGAAAATATATTTAAAGGGCCCAGACCCATTTTCACAGAGCAGGCAAAAAGAATGAATGTAGAGCTGAGAGGTAATAAATTTATAACTGGTACAGCGACATACTACTGTTTCAAAGCTTAATAGCTCCCTTCACCCTTCCTGACCCTGTAATCCTCCTAGCCTTTTCCCCTCCTGACCTCACTATAAGCCCTATCACTTTACCATTCAGTGTCTCCAGATTTGACACCTGCCCATCATTCCCTCCCTCCTCAAAAGAAAAAAAAAATGAGACAAGGATAGAACTGGTGGCAGGTGGTTCTCTAGACTGGAAGAGGAGTTAGACCACAGACAGGACCCGCTTTCTCAGGTAAACAAAAATTCTAGCAACTCAAAGTAGCTGGTCAGAGTGGGAGAGACCCAGAGGTGGGTCCTGAAAGCTCCTCACCTGTGGCATTAAATTGGGCAGGAATATGCTGACACCTGTGTGAGCCAGGTACTTTTGAGTGGAGAGGACTGAAGCTGAGGGAAGCAGCAGAACCAATGGCAATCTCCTTTACAGGAATATAAACTCCAAACTCAGGGACAGACACCCTATCCTAAGGCACAGCATATAGGTGGTGCTGAAATTTTCTTGAATGGCCGATGGGAACTAGGGTTAACCCCAAACCCAAGGCTTCCTGTCATTTCTGGGGGGCAATTCTTGACAATGGGCTATAACTGATCATCCCACCCATCTCAACACCCTTCAGCCACAACCCAGCCCAACCTACCCTCCCTGATCTGGAGCTCAGGCTACAGACTTCTGTAGAGAAAGGTACTGCCAGCAGAGAGCTGGCTTGAGGACCAAAAGGGATAGGGCACTCTGAGGAAAGAAGAGGCAGTTTTTGTCATCCTCTTTTTGTTAGCGTGAGGCTTACCATATTTATCAGACACATTCAGATATATCTTCTCACTTCATCTTGATCTTCTATTTTGAAAGACACAATGGCATTTGTTGTTTCCATTTTACAAATGAGACCACTAACGCCAAGAACCGTTAAGCAGTTGAGAGACCCAGAGTCAAAGGGCCGTTTTCTGAAGAATGTTGTACCAATCTCCAACTACATCACCTGCCCCACTGGAGTCTGTGGAGCCTCTTGCCACTTGATCAGCATACACTGGTCATGCCCTAGAGTCTGTTCATAGGCAGTAGGTAAGATAGGAGTTATTGAAATGGTAGTCACAATGAGGGCAGAGGCAAGACCGTGAGACTATGAGGGCTTGCCTTGCTGGCCTGGGCTGAGGACAAAGACTTCAATTTGATGAACTCCAGCTCTCCAGGTTAGGCTAGTAGGGCTAGGCTCTCCCTACCAGATTCTCAGGTCTAGGCCCTTTCTTCAGGCTACTTCCTTTGCCCTAGGTATTGACTTCTTCAGCAGTCCTAGAGAAGCAAAATTCAGATAAGGCATGTTCTGCTCTTGAAAGCTTTTCTTGGTGGGAAGCACCTGTGTGTTTGAGGAGGAAAGTGAGAGCCTCCAGAGGGCCTCCAAGCACTGACAGCTGGAAGCACCACCATACCAGTTCCCCACCCCCTTGTTCTCCAGTAACTCAGGCACCATACAACCAGTCCTGATATAGGGGAAGAGAGACATCTCCAGCTCTAAGAGCTTTCCACCAGTAGTCTCATTATGTATTTCCAGAGGACCCAGCAGGCCTCACAGTACAAAGACAGTCAGTGTAGTCATGGAAGAACTATCTGGATGAGTCCTTGGTTACAGAGTTGGGGAGTCCTCACTTTTCACATCAGCTCTTGCTAATTCTTCTCCTTCCTTATCCTTTCTGTGTCTAATTATCACTCACTCCTTTAAGAAGGAATTATGCTGGGCTGGGTAGATGACTCTGCACCTTCATCTCAGACCCAAGATTCTAGGCTTCAGGATTTTTTATTCTATCAAGAAAACAGCTCAGGGAATCCTGGGGAAGGAGAACTAGTGGAGGCACGGGTTTTGGTTAGCCGGTGAGGGTGCCTTCACAGTGCAATAAGTATGTGCCCACGTCCTCCCCACGAACAGCCTAGCCCCTGGTAAAGAATTCATGACGCAGCCTTTCCAATGCCCTCACTACTAAGGGGGCAGGCCACTCTTCAAAGAGGGGTTGTGGGAGCCCGGAATAGAGAAGAAAGTGGCCGGACTTCAACAAGCATGCCAAGGTCGTTACTGCCCTCCCTCTTTGACACTCCTATACTGAGCCCTCTGGCAGGCCGCAGAACACCGCCAACCCTCCAGGATGAGGCGCACGACACTTGGGTGAAGTCGAAGTGAAGCTCAACGCCCCCAGCCTCCTCCTCACTTTGGCTCCGCCCAGTCTCTCCAGGACTGAGCAAGCAACGATGCTGGAGGCGGCACTAGCCCTAGTCTCTGGTCCCCGCCGCCCCCTCCCAAACTCTTCTCGGCGACGTGAGAACTGGGCTGAGGCACCCAGGAGGTACTGGAACCGGCCTCAGTGGGATCTCTCTAGGAAACGGAATTTCACATTCGTTAGCACTCATGTTTAAGAACGAAAGAACCGGAAGGTGCCCTTAAAAAACGTGGCGACACTCTAGCTTCACTACAGTTACCTCAATAGCTCAAGAAACTTGGCATAGTTTTCGACCACTGACCGGCCTTCAGAAGATGACGCAATCCGGTCCACTTGGGTTCATCTTGGATAGCGCTAGCCCTCAACTATAATGGCGGCGCTGCCCAATTTGGCTTCTTGCCCCTAGGAAAGATGGCTGCCAGGAGGCTTCACTTAGTTTCTCACCACCCCGGAAGACGGGGACCGGCGATTGGGCGGTGCCTGAAGGCTCCAAGAAGAAGGCCCTCGGCGGTTGGGTAGTGAGAGATAAGGCTAGTTTTAAAGGAGCTGGAGGTGGGAGCCATCGAAGACCCGGGATCCACGGGAGGCGACGGTGAGCGGCGCGCGGGGGAGGGTACCGAACGGCAGGAGAGAGGGCGGGAGGAGGGAAGGAAGGAAACGTTTGAACCATCTGGTCCCGGGCTGGGGAGAGCGTTGGGCGGGGATCCGGGAGGGCGGAGGGAGGGGGGTCTGTGGGCGGGACCTCCCGGGATTGGAGTGAAGGGGGTATCTGCTTGACAGTGGATCCCCGGGGATCCGGACTGAGTTCGTGGTGCATAAGCTTAGGCCGCCCCTGTCTGAGTGGAGCTTTGTAGAGCTGAAGCGCACGGGGAGAGGATAATCCTCTTGTAGCGTCTGATTGGAAAAACCGCGCTGTAGGATTCTTTCCGCAGGGTTCCAGTCCAGGGGATCTGATGGGAGGTGGGACCGTTGGTGTGTGGTACTTCGGCTTCGGAGTCCTTGGCCACTCTGGGAGTGGATGAGGGTCGCAGAGGGATCCGGCGGAAACTCAGCCTCCCAGGACCGGGATCCCAGGGGATCTCAGGGCGCAATCTGCAGGGATAAAGGCCCCAGGAAGCTCCAGCTATGGGAGAACTGGGTCCGCTGGGTTCTCGCGGCAAATCCCAGGCAGGGCACGAGTGATCCTCTGATTGCCACGGCGGCAGCGGGAAGACACCCGCTCCGGGCGGCCAGTTGGGGGCGTCCTTCCGCGCCCCAGGGTTCCGGTCTGTGGGCTACCAAGAGCCTTAGGCGGACCATGACGGGCAGAGCCCGAGGGGAGGGACTGGCCCTCACTTCCCGCTCCCCTGCTCTCCTCCTACCCCAGGCTGCAGCCTAGGATTCCCCAGGGACTCCCCGGAGCCGCTGCTTCCCCCAATGGACTTGCTCGGGGACTCCAGGTGAGAGCACACCCTGCCCACCTGTCTTGAACCCGGGAAATGGGGTGCCTGGCGGCGGTACTGCAGAGCCAGTGACAGGCTCAGGCGACCGTTCTCTGCTTCTCTCATTCTCCAGCCCACCTGGCCGGCCGCATCTATGCCGCCAGCCCCTGGCTCGGGCATTATGGGGAGCCAGGAGCCCAAAACGGCCAAGGCTGCAGTCTCTAGGGGCCCCTTCGCCCTTGGAAAAGGCCTCTCGGCGGGTCCTGGCTGTGGTGCTGGAAGATGTCATGGCTGCTCACATGGTGAGCCTCTTGCACTGAGAGGCCCCCTTCTTTCACAGGTCCCCCTCCTCAGTACTAAAGTCAGACCAGATCACTACTGAGGATAATTTAGGTTATCCTCATTCTCACACCCATTGCTCAGGCAGCCTAATGCTAGAGTTTTGCTTGGCTCTCACTCCAACCTAGAATTGGGCAGGGTCTCAAATGACCATTCCTGCCACCAACCCTGTTGAGCTAGAACCACATCCCTGCGAGTATGAAATGTGAGAGAGCGTTGTTTTCTCAGCCCAATTTCTAGACAATCCTTGGGAAGCAGGCTGAGGTCTTTGGCTCCAGTGCACAGATCAGAAAAACTGAGGCCCCCAATAGGGCAGCAAGTCACCCAAGGTCATTCTTTCCTTTTCATTTCTCCAAACAGCCTTGGTGAGATTACCCGGGTCCTATATCTGCAGGTCACGACACTGTAATATCTGCCCCTCATTCAGTTCAACTTACCCTTGGGGATCTTAAGTGAATTCTAGCCACGATCTCTGTTACCTTTCTAGCACAGGGTACTGTTAGGCACAGGAAGACCCTGTCCAGTCCAACCTCATTCCATCACCTTGCTTTTGATATCTCCTCCAATCGAAGGCCCCCCTGGTGCCCGAAGAGGAGACCTCCACCTCACGGCATTGCAACAGTTGTCGGGATTCTGTCCGAAGCAAGCCGTCTGCTTCATCACTCCAACAGTCCTCATGGTCCTTGCAGGCCAGGTGAGCATGGCAGGATGGGGATAAGCTGGGCACATACCTGAGCTCTTCTGATCTTACTGTTCCCTCTCCAGGCCTCCCGACTCACTTCACTTATGCCGAGAACCTCTGAGCTGTGTCCGCCGGCCTGCTCTTACCCTGAGGCAGCGATCAAGGACAACCCCTGGCCCAGAGGAGGGCCCTTCACAAAAGGTGGACCAGGCCCCCAAGCCCACTCTAGTGGTGATGCTAGAAGACATTGCCAGCTCCAGACCCCTGGCTGAGGTATGGGAGCTTTGGGTCAGGATGTTAGGGGCTCATCAGGGGGGTCAGGCACTCCAGGAGGGATAGAAGACAGATATGTGAGGTCTGAGTCTGGGGTGGATTTTTCTCAGAGCAAAGAGAACCGCATTTTAGGTGGAAGACACTGCCTAAGCAAAGACCTATATGAAAAAGACTTTGGTGTGAACCCAGGAACACATTAGGAAACTGAGAGACTTGAGATGTGGGGAGCTAAGGAGGCCAAAGGGGGCTTCCCTGCCTTCTCACAAACATCCTGTTTTATATATCCAGGGCTTTGCTGATCAGAGTCCCAACTTCATCATCCCAATGAAAAGGTGAGAGGGCTGGGGAAGGGCTTATCAAGGTGTCTAGGCAACAACCATTATCCAGGCAGCCAGAGCTAGGAGCATCAGAATTTATCGAATCCTTCCTTGTAGTACCTTCAGCAGTCTTAAGGGCAGGGGAGGTGATGGCTCAGGTGGGATTGGGATCTGGAAGCTCCCCCCAGCCTTTACCTTGCCCCTTCACTGTAGAGCTGAACCTGTGATGATGGTTCACCAGCCAGTGCCTCCGCCCAGGGACCTGGAACCCCTATTCCAGCCATCTGCCCTGTCTGCAGATCTTCCAGAGAGTCCATCACAAGGTAAGGACTCAGAGGAATGAGATTTGGGGTTCTAAAAGATCCCAGCTATGCTTAGACATGTCAGGGGCAGAGGTGAGGCTGGGGCTTAACACACACAACCCCACCCCAACCAAGGCAGAGCTTGGTGTGTGAAGATGGGTTTTAGATTTCAGAGCCTGAAGTGCAACTCCTACATTTAAGATTGAGTTTTTTAGGGATGGGCTCTTCCTCTGTGGGCAGTTTAATGTTTGGGAAGGGGCTGAGGCTACTGAAATGGGGCTTAGACATCTGTACCTGAGGAATGCCCACCTGATCCTCTCCTTTCCTCAGTCCCAGATCCTGTTCTGGAGTCCCCATCGACCCCACCACCGTCCAGCCTTTTACGCCCCTGCCTCAGCCCCTGGGGTTTGGCCCCCCTCTTCCGTTCTGTCCGCTCCAAGCTGGAGAGCTTTGCTGACATCTTCCTCACGCCCAACAAAGCCCCACAGCCCCCACCCCCATCACCCCCCATGAAGTTGGAGTTGAAGATTGCCATCTCAGAGGCTGAGCAGTCCGGAGCTGCTGAGGACACTGCATCTGTCAGTCCCCGGCCCCCTATCAGTCAGTGGCGGGCCCAAGACCACAATCCCCCAGCACCCCTCCCTAAGCCCTCTCTGGGCCGAAGCCACTCCTGCCCTGATCTGGGGCCCCTTGGCCCAGATACCTACAGCTGGCCCCCTGCTCCACCCCACCCAAACAGGCCATGGCCACGGCGGCACACTGTGGGTGGTGGAGAGATGACCCGAGCCCCACCACCCCCTCGGCCCTGTCTCCGGAAAGAGGTCTTCCCTCTTGGAGGAGTGGGAGCCTCTCCTCCCCTTGTCACATCTTGTTCAACCACCGCATCCACTCGTTCCTTCTCTGAACCTGCAGAACCCAGGTAGTGCTCTTGGTAAACCCGCCTCAAAGCCCTGGCTGTGTACAGTCTGGGCCTAGCCTTCTTCCCTAGTGTCCAGTGGACAGGAGATGGGGATGTTGTTGTGAATGTTGTTTGTCCCTGAACCTTCACCTTCTCTGCAGGTTGGGCTCAACAAAGGAGAAGGAGGCAAGGGCCTCAGAGGACCAGGTGCTTTCAGACCACAAGACGAAGGTAGGAGTGCAGATAAGGGGGAAGAGGCAAGGGGGAGCCTGAGCCCATTTTTCATCCTTACTCTCTGCCCCATTTTTGGCAGACCATGGGAAAAGTTTCTCGATTCAGAATACGTAGGACACCAGCCCATCCTCAGCTAAACCTTACACCAATGGGACTGCCTCGACCAGTCAGGTGAGAGGCTTATCATGCACGGGGCTGCTTTGGCCAAACAGATGTAGGCTCAGGTTCCCTAAAATGTGGCTTCGTCTCCTCTCAGGGAACACAGTTTGTCTTGGAGGAGTCAGTTTAGTCTGGACATAGTTTGTGCTTAGAACTCTGCCTCAGGCAGCACTCCTAGCCTCTGGCATGTCCCAGAAACTGAAACACAGACCAAGCCTTGCTTATCCTTTCTCCAGGCCTCACTGGCCCCAGGTTTCTCAGTGGCCTCTGCTTTTTGCTTCCAGGTTGAACAAGAAGGACTTCAGCTTGGAAGAAATTTATACTAATAAGAATTACCAGACACCTACAAACAGGAGGTGAGAAACTTTGAAGGCTTGGGGGTGATAGTGGGAAGGCTGAAGCCAGGGGGCATGGTGATAACTAGCCCCCCTCTCTGCCTGGTCCAGGACCTTTGAAACCATCTTCGAGGAACCCCGGGAGCGCAATGGGACTCTGATTTTTACCAGCTCCAGAAAGCTACGGCGGGCTGTAGAATTTCGAGACAGCAGCCTCCCAAGATCCCGGCGGCCATCTCGGGGGGTCCGGGCTGCATCTGGCAGGACCCTTACTCCCAACCTGGCCCCCAGCCCAGATGTGGGACCGTTGCTGCAGCAGCGGCTGGAGGAGCTGGATGCCTTGCTCCTGGAGGAGGAGGAAGTGGATAGGAAGCAGCCCCATCTGAACTAGGAACTCCAGCTTATTTGTCCATCCTCATCCTGGAGGGAGGGGTAGCCTCTTGGAGCAGTTACATTTTTTTCTCTGTATTTCTAGTAAAGTTTTCATATGCTTGATTCTCTTGTATGTCTGAGTTTGAGATTGGTTGACAGTGCTGGTTGATGTTTCTACTTTGGCCCCTGAAGACTGGAAGTTGGGGAGGTGCCAGGGAAGGTCATGAGGGTTGAATACAGGAGGGGGGTCGGGAATGGTCATTAGAGATACTACTGATTTGAGAATTTTGCTGTGTGGAGGGATTCTTCAGAATCTGCTCCAGAAGATACTGTGTTCCTGGACCCTGGTCAGGGTTGTCTAAATGACTTACATTAAGGAGGAGACTGAAAGCCCCAGAGTGGACCAAGGGCCTGATCAAGATGGACCTGAATTCCTCCTAACTTGCAGGCCAGGAACTACTACTGCTGATTTGGGAGCTAAGAATAATCAGCTGCAATTGAGAACCTAAAACAACCTGTCACAGGTACTTGACTTGCACACATCCCTGTGAGAGGGAATTATATCCATTTTTTACATAAGAAAGCAAGCTGAGTGTGTCGGTGAAATGTCCACATTAAAATGGCAATCCAGGCAACCAAAGGCCAGACGTGCCAACTTTCATTGAAGGGAGCAGCTAAGAGCACAGACTGGAACTAGGCTTCTTCAGTTCAAATACTGGTTAGGAAACTAAATGCTTGTGTGTTTATTCCCCTCCCCCTCTGTAACCTTGCTGAAATAATTCTTATTCCCAAATGAATTAGTATGTGAGAATGTGCCTAGTACACAAATGCAAGGTGTTTTTTTTCTTGTTAACACGCAGACGACAGGCCAGCCCACTCCCACTGAAAGGAGCGATAACAACGCAGTTTCTTTCCCGCGCGGTTAGGCGCCCCCAAGGCACCGCGCGTGCTCAACCCACCTCGTGCCGCGAGGGATCCCACGGAACTGCCAACGGGACGACGTTATCACCATGCGCGTGCGCAAGTAGCCTGGCAGTTTGCGGGCTAATAAGCCAAGCGCCGGAAAAGGAGAGACGCCGTCACGGGCTGTCGAAAGCTACCTTCCAAGGCCGCGCGCCGCCCAGCGGCCAACCGCCCCCAGCTCTGGCGCTCCAGATCCCTTCTCCTCATTTCGACGCCGTCAGAAAGCAAGCCAATGAACAAAGAGCAGGAAGAGGCGGGATCACCTGGGGGACCGCCCCAAGTACCTACTTCTGACCAGTCGAATTGCAAGATTTGACGTAGGGCGGGGATAATCTCACGTATACCCAATCCAAAACTTGAGGGCGGTTACCTATTGCCCACTCCCTGAACTTTGACCCCGCCCTCCGTCTTGACGTACACTTCTCAACCTATCAACGACTTAGATTGCGGAGGGGAGAGTGGGAGGAAATAGAGGAAGGAGGTGTAGGCAGAGGAGGAAGAGGGAGGGAGGTGGAGGAGGGGTAGGGAAGTCCTGGTAGAGAAGAGGCCCGAGATTCTGAAGAAGACAAGAGGTGAGCTGCGCTCGAGCTCCCCCGCTGCCCAAAGGCTGTTCCGGATCCTTTAAGGCACAAGTCAGACAAAGACGGAGGAAAGCAGGAAGAGACTTTTATGTCGGCAGACAGAGAAGCTTTGCCCGTCACCGTTGCCTCACATCCGGGGCTTTGGAGGGCTGCCCCCACCCCCTGCTGCCCCGCCCCCCCCTCCTTTCATGGCGACCGGAGGCGGAGGCTGGAAAATCTGGGCCGGGAGGAGGCCCCTTTAAATCTCCTTAAAGGGGTGGCCTCTGAACTCGGCCGGCTGCAACGCCAGCCTTAAAGGGGACGCGCCGAACAGAAGCTGACAAATTGAGAACTGTGCTGTTAGGAGAACTGGAGCGAGCAGGGATTTTTTACCACTTCGTCTCCCCCACCCAAGAAGTCCTTTTAAGTTCAGCGTAAAGGGGAAGTGACCGCCTGCGGAGGACTAGAAACTTAACTCCCGATCCCTTAGAGGCCTGCTGGTTGGACGACCCTAGACCTCTTAAAGGGGTGGCCTCAGCCGGAGGACTTGAGACACTTTTAAAGGGGAGGTCTGCGTTTCAGGACGAGCTTTCGGCCCCTTTTAAAGGGGTGGCCCTTCCTTTTCCTTGGGGAGACTTGTCTCGACCCCTGGCAGGGGGCGGCCGCCGCTCTAGGCCGGCCGGACTAGGTCGAGTCGTCTTAAAGGGGCCAGGGGCTGGACAACTTGAAGCCTCGCCTTAAAGGGACGGCCGCTCCGTTTTCACCGTTTCGGGCCTGCCGGCCCCTAGGGCGGGGGGAGGGGGCTCTGGGGCTTGTCGCCCCGGGGCGGCGCCGGCTCCCCGGGCCTTGGCCTTGTGGCAAGCTCGGGGCCAGTAGATCCTGCTTTAAAGGGGAAGCCGTGGCCCTCTCGTCCCTGTGCAGCCGCCAGCGTCGCACCTGCGACCCCAGGCCTGCGGACAGGCCACTTCGGGCCCCGCCGCCTCCGGATGCGGCGCTGAGGGCGGTCGCCATGGAGACAGCAGCGGCCACGGCTCCGGGCCCCGGCTGGGCGACTGAGGGGGAGCGGCGGCGGCGGCGCTGCTCGCGCCGAGACCGAGACCGGGAGCAGCGGCGCCGTCGAGGTCCCGGCGGCGATGCGCCCCGGGCCCTTTTGGCCGCCCCGCGCGGCTCCTCTTCCTCGTCGTCGCCGCCGCCTCCTGCCAGGCCCTGGTCGTCAGCTTCGTCTGGAGAGCGGCCCGGAGGCCCGAGACGGCGGCGGCCCCGTCCCAGGCCTCGGCCCCCGCGACCCAGAACTCGGAAGCGGCCTGCTGGCTCGGGCAGCCGCGGGGAGGAGGAGGATGAGGAGGAGGGGGGCGCAGACGATAGGGAGGCCGAGGAGGAGCCTGAGGAGGAAGAAGAGGAGGAAGACTTGATCGATGGCTTTGCCATCGCCAGCTTCGCCAGCCTCGAGGCCTTGCAGGTGGGGCCTGATGGGGCTGGGGACTTCTGGGGGCTCTAGAGGGGCAGAGAGAAGGGTACCGTGCCTGGAGTGGGTGGAGTTGAGGGGGGAATGCTGGCACCCCAAACCAGAGCAACCGGCTCCTCTGGCCAGGCCTCTGCCCCACCCTGGGGTGGAAGGAGGTAGAGCTAGTCTCCAGGGAGCAACCAGGTTACCCTGCCTGAGAGCCACTTTGGTAGTCTGGTCACCCCCTAGAGAGATTGGGAGGTTTCCTTTCTCCATCTACTTTAGTCCCACCTCCTCCTCCATAGAAGGATGCATCTCTAGAGCCCCCAGAGCGACTTGAACATCGGCTGAAGCATTCTGGGAAGCGGAAGAGGGGGGGCTCCAGTGGTGCCACTGGGGAGCCAGGGGACAGCTCTGATCGGGAGCCTGGACGACCCTCTGGAGATCGGGCTCGAAAATGGCCCAATAAGCGGAGAAGGAAAGAGGTGAGCTTGTCCCATATCACTGTCCTTTAAAACTCGGCACAATGACCTTCACATAGATCCATTTCCCATCAGTAATGTCCCTGCACATCGCAAATAGTGACCCCATTGCCTAAGGGCAAAAAGCAAATTTTGAGTGCTCACTCCCCAATCCAGGGCTGACAAAGATGAGTCCACAGTCACACTCACCTGTTTTGCGCTGATACTGTATCTATTTACTTCAAACGTTGATAATTCAGAGATGCGCTAAAGGAACTTGAGTCATAAGTGAATTAGATATGGTCTTTGTCCTCTCCCTTGAGGTGGTCACAGTCTTGCAGGAAAGAAGCAATCTGTGAGCAAATAACTACACTAAAATCTGAGAAGGTACAGAAGGCAGAGATCTGGGAGAGATGCTGCAGAAACCCACATGAGGAAGACACGCATTCTGCCTGGAGGATGGGAGGAAGGTTGTGGTTAGGGAAAGCCCCCTAGGATGTCTTAGTCAGGCCTTGAAGGATAGTCATAAGTTTGCTAAGAGGAGAAATGCGCAAAGAAGTTTTGGGCAAAAGCACAGAAATGTGAGAATCTGGTACATTTAGAAAATGGTCACAGCATTGGCAATAGGAGTAGGTAGCAGCCAGAGAAGCAGCTGGAAAGAGACTGAGAGTAGTTTATGAGTGGCCTTGAGTGCCTTGCCAGGGAGTTTAGACTATCCAAAGGCCTCCCTAGTCAGCCTCCCTTACTTACCTCTGGACTCTGGTCTTTCTCAGGCCTCCTCCCATCATTCTCTGGAAGCTGGATACATAGTAAGTGTTCTCTACCTGTACTGGCCAATCCCCTCTCTTTTCCCCTTTGGGCCCACTCTTCCCTCTTGTGACACCTCTGTCTTTCCTTCTCCCCAGTGTGATGCCGAAAGTGATCTGGATGAGAAGGTGAGTAGGGCTAGAACGTGTTGGGTGGGCAGTTTTACTGCTTGTATAACGAACAGCTTGTATAATGAACTTAAAGTTTTCCTACATGCAGCAGCTTGAACCTCCCCTTAAGTGGGGAACATGAGTTAGTTGAGCCAGGATTAGATTTTTGGGAGGAAAAGGCAGGGGGACTTGAGAGAGTAAATGGCTTTGGTGACTAGAGCTAGTTAAGCCCTTGGAGATAGCAGTGGTTCTCCATGTAAAACCGGGGTAGCTATGGAACTGAGCTGGTCCTTTCTACTGGCAATTGGTCTGCTCTTACAGATTAGATCCTGAACAGAGACTGTGTTCATGGCAGTGAGGACACTAAACCATTGTAGTCAGTGGAAGAGCATAACCTTTAAAGGTGTATTTCAGTTTGTTAGGGCTCATTTGCTTGTTTTGAAATAATGTGTCCTAGCAGTTGGTGTTCTATGCCTGTGCCTAAATTTGCACTCCCTGATGTGTGTCTTGTTTTTGTTTGAAAAGTTGGCTGGGACTGTGGTGAACCAGAGTTCTTTGTCCATCTAAAGAGGGCAGCCACTGACCAGTTCTAACTGTTGTAAGAATATGGGCCCATTTTCAAGAGAACCGGCAAGTCTGAGTTTTTATGAGGAATCTTGGGATTTCTAAAGATCAGCAGCTAGTTTGCTAACACTTGTGAACCAGGCAAACCTGTATGGACCAGCAGTTAATGATATCTGACATTTTTGTATTGATTTGCCTGCTCTTTCATTATGTCAGTGCTGTCTCAATTCAGTCCTTCTGGCTTATCGGATTCTCAGGCTCAGTTGCTCCACTGTTTGCTCCAAGCCTAGGCCCTCAAGGGACCACAGTCTGTGATGGATTGCAGCTAAACTAATGAAATAGACTTAACAGCACTGCTAGTTCTTAGCAGGCTCCCAAGGCTGTTGGCCCCCCTGAGTGAGGACCTGGCCTGACCAGAACCTGACCCTGTCCCTGCTCTTCTTCCCCAGGTCTCCGATGATGACCTCGACCCATCTTTTACTGTGTCAACCAGCAGAGGTCGGTCCAGAGGGCTGTGGCTGAAGACGAGGGAGGGAAACTGGGTGAGCAAGGGCCTCAACCGAGTATTTGTCCTGTCCTGTTCTCATAGCCTCTGGCCCCCACGGCGTCTTCAATGGGAACTGTGAAGCAAAACTCTCTGTAGTCCCTAAAGTGTCGGGCCTGGAGCGGAGCCAGGAACAGCCCCCTGGGCCCGACCCGCTGCTAGTGCCTTTTCCCCCGAAAGAACCACCACCTCCACTGGCCCCTCGGCCTCCTGTCTCGCCCCCTGCACCCCTACCGACTGCCCCCAGTCTGCCACCCCCACCCCAGCCCCAGCTGCAGCTTCGGGTCTCGCCCTTTGGGCTCCGCACTTCTCCTTATGGCAGCAGTCTGGACCTCAGCACTGGCAGGTGAGTGGTCCAAGGGTCTGGTCATTTTCGTGCCAATCCCTACATTCTGACTGGGACATGGGATGGTACCTGTGGGAGGTGACTTGGAAAAGGGTTCTGAGGCTGAAAAGTTTGAGAAACACTGGGATGAAACGTGAAGAGATTACTATAGGATTTATTAGAGTACCCTTTATACATTTGCACTCAGGGGAATCCAGTGTGTGCCCTTCCCCAATTTTATTTGCTGGTGAGACCTTTTTGCAAGGCACATCTGCTAGGAATAGTGTTCTTCGGAACATACTTTGGGAAATGCTGTCATGATAATTGAGAGTTCTGGCTTTGGTGTCAGTCAGACCTGGCTTAAAATTCTTGCTCTGCCACTTACTGTCTGTCTGATTTTCTGACAAGTCACTTAACCTCTCTGGGCCTCAGTTTCCTCTTTCTGTAAAATGAAATAATAATAGTACCTTTGTTCTAAAGTTGTTGTGAGGATTAACTATGCATTAATGCAGTGTTTCCCAAAGTGTGTGCAATCATTGTTAATGGTTTGTGAGAGAATTTCAGAAGTTATGTGAGTAAATCTTTCTCAGCTTTTATGTGCTTTAGAAAAACATGAGTAGTACCTCGACCTCTGATTTTACATGTTACTGCTTGGGTAAGGCTAAGTAAAACAAAAACTGAGTTAAAAGAAAGAAGTAAATGATGGTACAGGTGGTTACGTGGATGCGGCAGCAGTTGGGAAGGTGGTGTAAAATATTGGAGCATGTAAAGCAGGTGGCAGTACTTGGTGTACAGTAAGTGCTCATTAAAGGGTAAGAATCACTGATCCTATTGTCACAGTGCTGTCTCTATTATTGCCATCATTGTTATTCATTTTTTTCTTATTAAGAAAACTAAGGCTCAGAGAGGGGCAGTGACTTGCTTGAGGTCACCCAGGGTGTTAATGGCAAGATGGGTCTAGAATTTAGGTCTCCTATCTCCTAGGCCAGGCCAGCAAGGTACTGCTTCAACTGTCTTAGGGTGGGAACCCAGGTGTCCTGTTGTAATTAAGCGTCATAGTTAGTAATACATTTTGTGCTGTGGTCGAGTCAGAAAAGGGAATGTCGTGGCTAGAGACGTCAGGGGCAGTTGTATGGAAGAAGAGACCTGGAGAGGGAGAGAGGGGGTTGTTGGGTGTGGGAGGTACTTCAGGCTGAGGATGGGTTCCTTGGGCAGGGGTGGGGTCCTGGACCAGGTTCTACCACCCTCCAAGTTGGAGAACCAGGGTCAAGGTATCACCCAGGCTTCTGACCCCCTCCAGTCAGAACTGGCACCTCTCAACCCCTCACTCATCTCCCCACTTCTCTCCCCAGCTCTTCACGGCCGCCCCTCAAGGTCCCGGCCCCTCCCGTGGCTCAGCCTACACCCTCATCATCCTCTTCATCCTCTTCCTCTTCATCTGCCTCCTCCTCGTCCGCGCAGCTTACCCACCGGCCCCCGACGCCCTCACTGCCCCTGCCTTTGTCCACCCATGGCTTTCCCCACCCTGGGCTGCGGCCTCCCCCACCACCCCACCACCCCTCCTTGTTCTCCCCTGGCCCCACCCTGCCCCCACCCCCACCCTTGCTGCAGGTGCCAGGGCACCCTGGGGCCTCAGCCACTAACGCCCTTTCTGGTGAGTTTGGGGTCCTGGCTGGGGGGTGTGGGGGCCATGGCCCCAGGCTTGGGCTCAGCCGGCTTTGGGGCATCTGGACCTAAGCAGACAACAGGGTTTGAGGAGGGAGTGGCTCAAGGCCAGAAGGGAAGGAAGGTCACCTGGGCCCAAGGAGGTTGGCATAGCAGCAGCAGATATTAAAGCCTTCTCCCCCTCCCCTCCCACAGAGCAGGACCTGATCGGCCAGGACCTGAACTCTCGCTACCTGAATGCCCAGGGTGGCCCTGAGGTGGTGGGGGCAGGGGGCTCAGCCCGGCCCCTGGCCTTCCAGTTCCACCAGCACAACCACCAGCACCAGCACACCCACCAGCACACCCACCAGCACTTCACCCCTTATCCCCCGGGCCTGCTGCCACCTCATGGCCCCCACATGGTGAGCTTCTCCTTGGGCCAGTAATGAGGCTCAGAGACTGGGCGGGAGGATATGGCTTCCAGGGGAAGGCCCTGAGTCTCTGACTGGCAGCTTACTCTTCCCTTCTCTTCCTTAGTTTGAGAAATACCCAGGAAAGATGGAAGGCCTCTTCCGGCATAATGTGAGTGAGTGAATGAGTGAGTGAGTGAGCGAGCGAGCGAGCTTGGATGCATTAATGTGTATAATCCTGACTGTTGGGGTCCAGTCTTCAGCTTTAAAAGCAAGGGTCTTGAGCCTGGGAGAGCTTCCTGGGGGGTTTTAGGTTGGAGGCTAGAGGACTGATGGGCAGACCAGACATGGGCTGCCTCTCCACACCCAGCTTGGACTAGTCCCCTTCTCTCCACAGCCGTACACGGCCTTCCCTCCCGCAGTGCCCGGCCTACCTCCGGGCCTCCCGCCGGCTGTCTCCTTTGGCTCCCTGCAGGGGGCCTTCCAGCCCAAGGTGAGCTTCCAATCCAGACACCACCATCACCTCCCACCCTTTACAAACCCAGATACCCCCAGATTCACATACCTTCTTCCCATTCCCCAAAACCATACCCATTTTCCTGCCCTCCCCTGTGGACCCAAGTTTCTCCAAAGCCATGCTCTTCCCTGTCCCAGCCCCCAGCTTGGTTCTAGACCACTTTTATGCCTGGTGTCAGCTCTACTGACTGATCCCTTCACTCCCCTTTCCCAGAGCACAAACCCAGAGCTGCCACCACGACTGGGGCCAGTGCCGAGCGGGCTTCCTCAAAAGGGGACACAGGTGAGGGGGGACAAGGCAGGTCCTGGGGGAGCTAGCTGGAAGATCTGTGGAGGAAGAACAGGGTTAACTTGAGGGAGAACTACTGATCCTTCCTTTTAATATGTGATCTGTGGTGTCCCAGATAATCTGACATGAGGGACTTTCTGTAAATGACAGGATTTCCCAGAACACAAGGAGGATGAATTTCATGAGGGTTGCCCCAGAAATAAGATGACCAGAAACAATGGTTTTGTAGGGGTTTTCAAATTTTTTAAGTCACAAAACACTTTTAAAAAAATGACATCATACCAGGAAGTCCTGTATGTAAAACAATGAGAAGATAAGCTGCCCCTTTGTGAAGTGGCTTGGGGAGCAGCCTTAGAGCCAGGGCTCTGAGAACATAGTAAAAAGTGCAGGATGTGTTTCCTAAAGGATAGGCTAGACCAGATGTTTTCTAATCTCTTATAGCTATAGTAAAGGCTTTTTTCCTAAAATAATCTTAAACAGATTTTCATCTATTAAAGTTATTAATAGGGTAGTTTCTCTCATTGAGAAACCTGTCCTGCCTGCAAGTTACCTCCTGGGGCCCGGTGATTGGTGAACTTGGTGCTGGAGGGGAGACTCCCAGAGTGGTAGAGATGGGGAAAGGATTCTTAAAAGAAGCAGGGAAGGTTTGAAGGAGTATCACAAGGTCTCGGGTGTTTCGGGGGTTACTGTGGAGTGTGGAGATGAGGTGCCCAGGTATCCGTAACATGTCTGAATTGCCACCAATCTCTGCTTTGCCATCCCCAGATCCCTGACCATTTCCGGCCATCTTTGAGGGTGAGTTTGGTGAGGACCTCAGGCTGCATGAAGTTGGGGGCTGGTATCAAGGTGTTTGGCTGAGGGGTGGTCTTGCTTGGGAATGAGCAAGAAGCCCAAGACATGGAGGCAGCCTGATGTGGAACACAGAAAGGGAAAGCCTTGTAAACCACAGACCTGGGTTCAGATGTAACTACCATGGGACCTTGGGCAAGACAGTTTCTCTCTCTGAGCCTCAGTTTCCTAGGCTGTGAAGTGACCTAGTCATCCTTCACTTGTAGGGATGTTGAACTGGGATGTGTGTGGCAATGTCCAGGGCAGGTCTGGAGTGAGCAATGAGTGAACATTCTTTCCTTCCCTTTCCCTTTGGTTATCCTTCTGGGGCGGCAGAAACCAGGGAAGTGGTGTGCCATGCATGTGCGTGTGGCTTACATGATCCTGAGACACCAGGAAAAGATGAAGGTACTGGGGTCGGAGGGCTGGGAAGAGTGGGCCTGCCTCAGCTCTGGGTGTCTGTCTATAATGTAGCTTGGCAGAATCTTGGCCAGAAACATCGCCTCCTATTCCTGGTCACTGCCTGAGCAGTTCCGAAACTAGCACTAGGTTCTCTGGCTAACTAGGTGGGTGGTCAGGGAGGCTCTGAGAGAGGTAGAGGCCACACACCCAAGCCCTATTTTGGTGCCAGCTAGCCCTTGGAGGGGACTATGGGTGAAAGAGCAAGAGTGGAACCACACCTGGCTCCTCATTTCACTGCCCCTCTCCCTGTCCCATGCAGGGCGACTCCCACAAGCTTGACTTTCGGAACGACCTCCTGCCCTGCCTTCCGGGGCCCTATGGGGCCCTGCCCCCTGGGCAGGAGCTCTCCCACCCGGCCACCTCCCTCTTCACTGCAACTGGTGAGTCGGGCCAGCTCTCTCGAGCCCTGAGGTTCCTTGTCTATAGCCCCAGGCCCACTTTGCGCCCACTCAGCTTCATGAGAATATCCCACCTTTCTGCCCCAGGTGCCGTCCACGCTGCAACCAACCCTTTCACGGCAGCTCCCGGGGCCCATGGGCCCTTTCTGAGTCCCAGCACCCACATTGGTAAGAGCTATGGGCATGTTGTGCAACCCAGGCCTTGTCCCTGACTTACAGGGGTTCTCAAACTGGGACTGGAAATTAGATCAGAGAGGCAACTGGAATGGGGGCATAGACCGGGTTCCACTTGCTTTGCGACCTTGAGCAAATTTGAGCCTTGATCTCATCTGTAAAGTGGGATAGAGAAGGGTGGAGCAAGTACTAGTCTCTGGCAGCTCACACTGATCTCTTAAAATAGCCAGTGGTAGGGAGTACTGTGCCACATGGAAGAGGAGGGTGGAGGAGAGCTATTCCAGCCTTGGGGTGAGCGTGGTCAGTGTTTCCTAAATCTTGTCAGCCTTCTTAGGGAGGTTTATCCTGGATTTGGGTAGACAAGGAGGAATTGAGCCTGATGGCAGAAGGAATGTTCTTGGAAAAGGAAATTATAAGGTTCCCATAGTGGGATAGGTTATTGTGACTGGCTGTGTGACACATGCATGAAGTTAGGGTCAGGTTGGGAAGGGCTGCATGTCAGGTGGAGGAAGCCAGCAGAGGTTTTCAGGCAAGTGGCTTACTACAGAGCTGGTCCAGGTGGCCAATGTGAGGCAGTGTGCTATAAGAGCTTGACCTCTGGAGTCAGAGAGATCCTGGGTCAGGGGTACCACTCACTGGCTAGATAACCGTTAGCAAGTCACTTCACCTCTCTGAGCCTGTTTGATTATCTGAAAGTGGGAATGATCCTGTCTGCCTCATAGGACTTGTTGTGAGGTTAAACAAACATGATCCATGTCAAAGCTCAATGCCTTTCCTGACCCAAAGAAGTACTCAGCACCTGCTTGTTAAAACCAAGCCTTCCAGGGCCCAGGGGCCTGCTTGTTGATCTGCTTCTTCCCTGCCAGTGTTTGGTGCCTGCTGAGAGCCGCCCATTGTTCTGACCATCCCCCTTTTCTCTCACAGATCCCTTTGGGCGTCCCACAAGCTTCGCCTCCTTGGCTGCCCTCTCCAACGGGGCCTTTGGAGGCCTGGGCAGCCCCACCTTCAGTGAGTGCTGGCTGGGGTGGGGTGGGTAGGGACTNCCTCCTTTCATGGCGACCGGAGGCGGAGGCTGGAAAATCTGGGCCGGGAGGAGGCCCCTTTAAATCTCCTTAAAGGGGTGGCCTCTGAACTCGGCCGGCTGCAACGCCAGCCTTAAAGGGGACGCGCCGAACAGAAGCTGACAAATTGAGAACTGTGCTGTTAGGAGAACTGGAGCGAGCAGGGATTTTTTACCACTTCGTCTCCCCCACCCAAGAAGTCCTTTTAAGTTCAGCGTAAAGGGGAAGTGACCGCCTGCGGAGGACTAGAAACTTAACTCCCGATCCCTTAGAGGCCTGCTGGTTGGACGACCCTAGACCTCTTAAAGGGGTGGCCTCAGCCGGAGGACTTGAGACACTTTTAAAGGGGAGGTCTGCGTTTCAGGACGAGCTTTCGGCCCCTTTTAAAGGGGTGGCCCTTCCTTTTCCTTGGGGAGACTTGTCTCGACCCCTGGCAGGGGGCGGCCGCCGCTCTAGGCCGGCCGGACTAGGTCGAGTCGTCTTAAAGGGGCCAGGGGCTGGACAACTTGAAGCCTCGCCTTAAAGGGACGGCCGCTCCGTTTTCACCGTTTCGGGCCTGCCGGCCCCTAGGGCGGGGGGAGGGGGCTCTGGGGCTTGTCGCCCCGGGGCGGCGCCGGCTCCCCGGGCCTTGGCCTTGTGGCAAGCTCGGGGCCAGTAGATCCTGCTTTAAAGGGGAAGCCGTGGCCCTCTCGTCCCTGTGCAGCCGCCAGCGTCGCACCTGCGACCCCAGGCCTGCGGACAGGCCACTTCGGGCCCCGCCGCCTCCGGATGCGGCGCTGAGGGCGGTCGCCATGGAGACAGCAGCGGCCACGGCTCCGGGCCCCGGCTGGGCGACTGAGGGGGAGCGGCGGCGGCGGCGCTGCTCGCGCCGAGACCGAGACCGGGAGCAGCGGCGCCGTCGAGGTCCCGGCGGCGATGCGCCCCGGGCCCTTTTGGCCGCCCCGCGCGGCTCCTCTTCCTCGTCGTCGCCGCCGCCTCCTGCCAGGCCCTGGTCGTCAGCTTCGTCTGGAGAGCGGCCCGGAGGCCCGAGACGGCGGCGGCCCCGTCCCAGGCCTCGGCCCCCGCGACCCAGAACTCGGAAGCGGCCTGCTGGCTCGGGCAGCCGCGGGGAGGAGGAGGATGAGGAGGAGGGGGGCGCAGACGATAGGGAGGCCGAGGAGGAGCCTGAGGAGGAAGAAGAGGAGGAAGACTTGATCGATGGCTTTGCCATCGCCAGCTTCGCCAGCCTCGAGGCCTTGCAGGTGGGGCCTGATGGGGCTGGGGACTTCTGGGGGCTCTAGAGGGGCAGAGAGAAGGGTACCGTGCCTGGAGTGGGTGGAGTTGAGGGGGGAATGCTGGCACCCCAAACCAGAGCAACCGGCTCCTCTGGCCAGGCCTCTGCCCCACCCTGGGGTGGAAGGAGGTAGAGCTAGTCTCCAGGGAGCAACCAGGTTACCCTGCCTGAGAGCCACTTTGGTAGTCTGGTCACCCCCTAGAGAGATTGGGAGGTTTCCTTTCTCCATCTACTTTAGTCCCACCTCCTCCTCCATAGAAGGATGCATCTCTAGAGCCCCCAGAGCGACTTGAACATCGGCTGAAGCATTCTGGGAAGCGGAAGAGGGGGGGCTCCAGTGGTGCCACTGGGGAGCCAGGGGACAGCTCTGATCGGGAGCCTGGACGACCCTCTGGAGATCGGGCTCGAAAATGGCCCAATAAGCGGAGAAGGAAAGAGGTGAGCTTGTCCCATATCACTGTCCTTTAAAACTCGGCACAATGACCTTCACATAGATCCATTTCCCATCAGTAATGTCCCTGCACATCGCAAATAGTGACCCCATTGCCTAAGGGCAAAAAGCAAATTTTGAGTGCTCACTCCCCAATCCAGGGCTGACAAAGATGAGTCCACAGTCACACTCACCTGTTTTGCGCTGATACTGTATCTATTTACTTCAAACGTTGATAATTCAGAGATGCGCTAAAGGAACTTGAGTCATAAGTGAATTAGATATGGTCTTTGTCCTCTCCCTTGAGGTGGTCACAGTCTTGCAGGAAAGAAGCAATCTGTGAGCAAATAACTACACTAAAATCTGAGAAGGTACAGAAGGCAGAGATCTGGGAGAGATGCTGCAGAAACCCACATGAGGAAGACACGCATTCTGCCTGGAGGATGGGAGGAAGGTTGTGGTTAGGGAAAGCCCCCTAGGATGTCTTAGTCAGGCCTTGAAGGATAGTCATAAGTTTGCTAAGAGGAGAAATGCGCAAAGAAGTTTTGGGCAAAAGCACAGAAATGTGAGAATCTGGTACATTTAGAAAATGGTCACAGCATTGGCAATAGGAGTAGGTAGCAGCCAGAGAAGCAGCTGGAAAGAGACTGAGAGTAGTTTATGAGTGGCCTTGAGTGCCTTGCCAGGGAGTTTAGACTATCCAAAGGCCTCCCTAGTCAGCCTCCCTTACTTACCTCTGGACTCTGGTCTTTCTCAGGCCTCCTCCCATCATTCTCTGGAAGCTGGATACATAGTAAGTGTTCTCTACCTGTACTGGCCAATCCCCTCTCTTTTCCCCTTTGGGCCCACTCTTCCCTCTTGTGACACCTCTGTCTTTCCTTCTCCCCAGTGTGATGCCGAAAGTGATCTGGATGAGAAGGTGAGTAGGGCTAGAACGTGTTGGGTGGGCAGTTTTACTGCTTGTATAACGAACAGCTTGTATAATGAACTTAAAGTTTTCCTACATGCAGCAGCTTGAACCTCCCCTTAAGTGGGGAACATGAGTTAGTTGAGCCAGGATTAGATTTTTGGGAGGAAAAGGCAGGGGGACTTGAGAGAGTAAATGGCTTTGGTGACTAGAGCTAGTTAAGCCCTTGGAGATAGCAGTGGTTCTCCATGTAAAACCGGGGTAGCTATGGAACTGAGCTGGTCCTTTCTACTGGCAATTGGTCTGCTCTTACAGATTAGATCCTGAACAGAGACTGTGTTCATGGCAGTGAGGACACTAAACCATTGTAGTCAGTGGAAGAGCATAACCTTTAAAGGTGTATTTCAGTTTGTTAGGGCTCATTTGCTTGTTTTGAAATAATGTGTCCTAGCAGTTGGTGTTCTATGCCTGTGCCTAAATTTGCACTCCCTGATGTGTGTCTTGTTTTTGTTTGAAAAGTTGGCTGGGACTGTGGTGAACCAGAGTTCTTTGTCCATCTAAAGAGGGCAGCCACTGACCAGTTCTAACTGTTGTAAGAATATGGGCCCATTTTCAAGAGAACCGGCAAGTCTGAGTTTTTATGAGGAATCTTGGGATTTCTAAAGATCAGCAGCTAGTTTGCTAACACTTGTGAACCAGGCAAACCTGTATGGACCAGCAGTTAATGATATCTGACATTTTTGTATTGATTTGCCTGCTCTTTCATTATGTCAGTGCTGTCTCAATTCAGTCCTTCTGGCTTATCGGATTCTCAGGCTCAGTTGCTCCACTGTTTGCTCCAAGCCTAGGCCCTCAAGGGACCACAGTCTGTGATGGATTGCAGCTAAACTAATGAAATAGACTTAACAGCACTGCTAGTTCTTAGCAGGCTCCCAAGGCTGTTGGCCCCCCTGAGTGAGGACCTGGCCTGACCAGAACCTGACCCTGTCCCTGCTCTTCTTCCCCAGGTCTCCGATGATGACCTCGACCCATCTTTTACTGTGTCAACCAGCAGAGGTCGGTCCAGAGGGCTGTGGCTGAAGACGAGGGAGGGAAACTGGGTGAGCAAGGGCCTCAACCGAGTATTTGTCCTGTCCTGTTCTCATAGCCTCTGGCCCCCACGGCGTCTTCAATGGGAACTGTGAAGCAAAACTCTCTGTAGTCCCTAAAGTGTCGGGCCTGGAGCGGAGCCAGGAACAGCCCCCTGGGCCCGACCCGCTGCTAGTGCCTTTTCCCCCGAAAGAACCACCACCTCCACTGGCCCCTCGGCCTCCTGTCTCGCCCCCTGCACCCCTACCGACTGCCCCCAGTCTGCCACCCCCACCCCAGCCCCAGCTGCAGCTTCGGGTCTCGCCCTTTGGGCTCCGCACTTCTCCTTATGGCAGCAGTCTGGACCTCAGCACTGGCAGGTGAGTGGTCCAAGGGTCTGGTCATTTTCGTGCCAATCCCTACATTCTGACTGGGACATGGGATGGTACCTGTGGGAGGTGACTTGGAAAAGGGTTCTGAGGCTGAAAAGTTTGAGAAACACTGGGATGAAACGTGAAGAGATTACTATAGGATTTATTAGAGTACCCTTTATACATTTGCACTCAGGGGAATCCAGTGTGTGCCCTTCCCCAATTTTATTTGCTGGTGAGACCTTTTTGCAAGGCACATCTGCTAGGAATAGTGTTCTTCGGAACATACTTTGGGAAATGCTGTCATGATAATTGAGAGTTCTGGCTTTGGTGTCAGTCAGACCTGGCTTAAAATTCTTGCTCTGCCACTTACTGTCTGTCTGATTTTCTGACAAGTCACTTAACCTCTCTGGGCCTCAGTTTCCTCTTTCTGTAAAATGAAATAATAATAGTACCTTTGTTCTAAAGTTGTTGTGAGGATTAACTATGCATTAATGCAGTGTTTCCCAAAGTGTGTGCAATCATTGTTAATGGTTTGTGAGAGAATTTCAGAAGTTATGTGAGTAAATCTTTCTCAGCTTTTATGTGCTTTAGAAAAACATGAGTAGTACCTCGACCTCTGATTTTACATGTTACTGCTTGGGTAAGGCTAAGTAAAACAAAAACTGAGTTAAAAGAAAGAAGTAAATGATGGTACAGGTGGTTACGTGGATGCGGCAGCAGTTGGGAAGGTGGTGTAAAATATTGGAGCATGTAAAGCAGGTGGCAGTACTTGGTGTACAGTAAGTGCTCATTAAAGGGTAAGAATCACTGATCCTATTGTCACAGTGCTGTCTCTATTATTGCCATCATTGTTATTCATTTTTTTCTTATTAAGAAAACTAAGGCTCAGAGAGGGGCAGTGACTTGCTTGAGGTCACCCAGGGTGTTAATGGCAAGATGGGTCTAGAATTTAGGTCTCCTATCTCCTAGGCCAGGCCAGCAAGGTACTGCTTCAACTGTCTTAGGGTGGGAACCCAGGTGTCCTGTTGTAATTAAGCGTCATAGTTAGTAATACATTTTGTGCTGTGGTCGAGTCAGAAAAGGGAATGTCGTGGCTAGAGACGTCAGGGGCAGTTGTATGGAAGAAGAGACCTGGAGAGGGAGAGAGGGGGTTGTTGGGTGTGGGAGGTACTTCAGGCTGAGGATGGGTTCCTTGGGCAGGGGTGGGGTCCTGGACCAGGTTCTACCACCCTCCAAGTTGGAGAACCAGGGTCAAGGTATCACCCAGGCTTCTGACCCCCTCCAGTCAGAACTGGCACCTCTCAACCCCTCACTCATCTCCCCACTTCTCTCCCCAGCTCTTCACGGCCGCCCCTCAAGGTCCCGGCCCCTCCCGTGGCTCAGCCTACACCCTCATCATCCTCTTCATCCTCTTCCTCTTCATCTGCCTCCTCCTCGTCCGCGCAGCTTACCCACCGGCCCCCGACGCCCTCACTGCCCCTGCCTTTGTCCACCCATGGCTTTCCCCACCCTGGGCTGCGGCCTCCCCCACCACCCCACCACCCCTCCTTGTTCTCCCCTGGCCCCACCCTGCCCCCACCCCCACCCTTGCTGCAGGTGCCAGGGCACCCTGGGGCCTCAGCCACTAACGCCCTTTCTGGTGAGTTTGGGGTCCTGGCTGGGGGGTGTGGGGGCCATGGCCCCAGGCTTGGGCTCAGCCGGCTTTGGGGCATCTGGACCTAAGCAGACAACAGGGTTTGAGGAGGGAGTGGCTCAAGGCCAGAAGGGAAGGAAGGTCACCTGGGCCCAAGGAGGTTGGCATAGCAGCAGCAGATATTAAAGCCTTCTCCCCCTCCCCTCCCACAGAGCAGGACCTGATCGGCCAGGACCTGAACTCTCGCTACCTGAATGCCCAGGGTGGCCCTGAGGTGGTGGGGGCAGGGGGCTCAGCCCGGCCCCTGGCCTTCCAGTTCCACCAGCACAACCACCAGCACCAGCACACCCACCAGCACACCCACCAGCACTTCACCCCTTATCCCCCGGGCCTGCTGCCACCTCATGGCCCCCACATGGTGAGCTTCTCCTTGGGCCAGTAATGAGGCTCAGAGACTGGGCGGGAGGATATGGCTTCCAGGGGAAGGCCCTGAGTCTCTGACTGGCAGCTTACTCTTCCCTTCTCTTCCTTAGTTTGAGAAATACCCAGGAAAGATGGAAGGCCTCTTCCGGCATAATGTGAGTGAGTGAATGAGTGAGTGAGTGAGCGAGCGAGCGAGCTTGGATGCATTAATGTGTATAATCCTGACTGTTGGGGTCCAGTCTTCAGCTTTAAAAGCAAGGGTCTTGAGCCTGGGAGAGCTTCCTGGGGGGTTTTAGGTTGGAGGCTAGAGGACTGATGGGCAGACCAGACATGGGCTGCCTCTCCACACCCAGCTTGGACTAGTCCCCTTCTCTCCACAGCCGTACACGGCCTTCCCTCCCGCAGTGCCCGGCCTACCTCCGGGCCTCCCGCCGGCTGTCTCCTTTGGCTCCCTGCAGGGGGCCTTCCAGCCCAAGGTGAGCTTCCAATCCAGACACCACCATCACCTCCCACCCTTTACAAACCCAGATACCCCCAGATTCACATACCTTCTTCCCATTCCCCAAAACCATACCCATTTTCCTGCCCTCCCCTGTGGACCCAAGTTTCTCCAAAGCCATGCTCTTCCCTGTCCCAGCCCCCAGCTTGGTTCTAGACCACTTTTATGCCTGGTGTCAGCTCTACTGACTGATCCCTTCACTCCCCTTTCCCAGAGCACAAACCCAGAGCTGCCACCACGACTGGGGCCAGTGCCGAGCGGGCTTCCTCAAAAGGGGACACAGGTGAGGGGGGACAAGGCAGGTCCTGGGGGAGCTAGCTGGAAGATCTGTGGAGGAAGAACAGGGTTAACTTGAGGGAGAACTACTGATCCTTCCTTTTAATATGTGATCTGTGGTGTCCCAGATAATCTGACATGAGGGACTTTCTGTAAATGACAGGATTTCCCAGAACACAAGGAGGATGAATTTCATGAGGGTTGCCCCAGAAATAAGATGACCAGAAACAATGGTTTTGTAGGGGTTTTCAAATTTTTTAAGTCACAAAACACTTTTAAAAAAATGACATCATACCAGGAAGTCCTGTATGTAAAACAATGAGAAGATAAGCTGCCCCTTTGTGAAGTGGCTTGGGGAGCAGCCTTAGAGCCAGGGCTCTGAGAACATAGTAAAAAGTGCAGGATGTGTTTCCTAAAGGATAGGCTAGACCAGATGTTTTCTAATCTCTTATAGCTATAGTAAAGGCTTTTTTCCTAAAATAATCTTAAACAGATTTTCATCTATTAAAGTTATTAATAGGGTAGTTTCTCTCATTGAGAAACCTGTCCTGCCTGCAAGTTACCTCCTGGGGCCCGGTGATTGGTGAACTTGGTGCTGGAGGGGAGACTCCCAGAGTGGTAGAGATGGGGAAAGGATTCTTAAAAGAAGCAGGGAAGGTTTGAAGGAGTATCACAAGGTCTCGGGTGTTTCGGGGGTTACTGTGGAGTGTGGAGATGAGGTGCCCAGGTATCCGTAACATGTCTGAATTGCCACCAATCTCTGCTTTGCCATCCCCAGATCCCTGACCATTTCCGGCCATCTTTGAGGGTGAGTTTGGTGAGGACCTCAGGCTGCATGAAGTTGGGGGCTGGTATCAAGGTGTTTGGCTGAGGGGTGGTCTTGCTTGGGAATGAGCAAGAAGCCCAAGACATGGAGGCAGCCTGATGTGGAACACAGAAAGGGAAAGCCTTGTAAACCACAGACCTGGGTTCAGATGTAACTACCATGGGACCTTGGGCAAGACAGTTTCTCTCTCTGAGCCTCAGTTTCCTAGGCTGTGAAGTGACCTAGTCATCCTTCACTTGTAGGGATGTTGAACTGGGATGTGTGTGGCAATGTCCAGGGCAGGTCTGGAGTGAGCAATGAGTGAACATTCTTTCCTTCCCTTTCCCTTTGGTTATCCTTCTGGGGCGGCAGAAACCAGGGAAGTGGTGTGCCATGCATGTGCGTGTGGCTTACATGATCCTGAGACACCAGGAAAAGATGAAGGTACTGGGGTCGGAGGGCTGGGAAGAGTGGGCCTGCCTCAGCTCTGGGTGTCTGTCTATAATGTAGCTTGGCAGAATCTTGGCCAGAAACATCGCCTCCTATTCCTGGTCACTGCCTGAGCAGTTCCGAAACTAGCACTAGGTTCTCTGGCTAACTAGGTGGGTGGTCAGGGAGGCTCTGAGAGAGGTAGAGGCCACACACCCAAGCCCTATTTTGGTGCCAGCTAGCCCTTGGAGGGGACTATGGGTGAAAGAGCAAGAGTGGAACCACACCTGGCTCCTCATTTCACTGCCCCTCTCCCTGTCCCATGCAGGGCGACTCCCACAAGCTTGACTTTCGGAACGACCTCCTGCCCTGCCTTCCGGGGCCCTATGGGGCCCTGCCCCCTGGGCAGGAGCTCTCCCACCCGGCCACCTCCCTCTTCACTGCAACTGGTGAGTCGGGCCAGCTCTCTCGAGCCCTGAGGTTCCTTGTCTATAGCCCCAGGCCCACTTTGCGCCCACTCAGCTTCATGAGAATATCCCACCTTTCTGCCCCAGGTGCCGTCCACGCTGCAACCAACCCTTTCACGGCAGCTCCCGGGGCCCATGGGCCCTTTCTGAGTCCCAGCACCCACATTGGTAAGAGCTATGGGCATGTTGTGCAACCCAGGCCTTGTCCCTGACTTACAGGGGTTCTCAAACTGGGACTGGAAATTAGATCAGAGAGGCAACTGGAATGGGGGCATAGACCGGGTTCCACTTGCTTTGCGACCTTGAGCAAATTTGAGCCTTGATCTCATCTGTAAAGTGGGATAGAGAAGGGTGGAGCAAGTACTAGTCTCTGGCAGCTCACACTGATCTCTTAAAATAGCCAGTGGTAGGGAGTACTGTGCCACATGGAAGAGGAGGGTGGAGGAGAGCTATTCCAGCCTTGGGGTGAGCGTGGTCAGTGTTTCCTAAATCTTGTCAGCCTTCTTAGGGAGGTTTATCCTGGATTTGGGTAGACAAGGAGGAATTGAGCCTGATGGCAGAAGGAATGTTCTTGGAAAAGGAAATTATAAGGTTCCCATAGTGGGATAGGTTATTGTGACTGGCTGTGTGACACATGCATGAAGTTAGGGTCAGGTTGGGAAGGGCTGCATGTCAGGTGGAGGAAGCCAGCAGAGGTTTTCAGGCAAGTGGCTTACTACAGAGCTGGTCCAGGTGGCCAATGTGAGGCAGTGTGCTATAAGAGCTTGACCTCTGGAGTCAGAGAGATCCTGGGTCAGGGGTACCACTCACTGGCTAGATAACCGTTAGCAAGTCACTTCACCTCTCTGAGCCTGTTTGATTATCTGAAAGTGGGAATGATCCTGTCTGCCTCATAGGACTTGTTGTGAGGTTAAACAAACATGATCCATGTCAAAGCTCAATGCCTTTCCTGACCCAAAGAAGTACTCAGCACCTGCTTGTTAAAACCAAGCCTTCCAGGGCCCAGGGGCCTGCTTGTTGATCTGCTTCTTCCCTGCCAGTGTTTGGTGCCTGCTGAGAGCCGCCCATTGTTCTGACCATCCCCCTTTTCTCTCACAGATCCCTTTGGGCGTCCCACAAGCTTCGCCTCCTTGGCTGCCCTCTCCAACGGGGCCTTTGGAGGCCTGGGCAGCCCCACCTTCAGTGAGTGCTGGCTGGGGTGGGGTGGGTAGGGACTGTCGCAGTGGGCTCTAACAAGGGGTGGGAGGATACCTGAGTGGGACCTCCCACTCATGGCTCCTGTCACTCTCTACTTCACCTTCTGTTTAGACTCCAGCACCGTCTTTGCCCAGAAAGAAAGTCCAGGGGCCCCACCAGCCTTCGCCTCCCCGCCAGACCCATGGGGACGTCTGCACCGCAGTCCTCTGGCCTTTCCTGCCTGGGTCCGGCCCCCTGAGGCCTCCCGGACACCAGGCTCAGACAAGGAGCGGCCTGTGGAGCGGAGGGAGCCCTCTATCACCAAGGAGGAAAAAGACAGGTATGCTTCCTGCCACCCCATCCCCTGTAATGTCTGCCCTCCCCTTCAGCCTGGTTCTAATCTGTGGAGTATCTTCATTCTCTTGCCCTATGCCTTCTGTGCCAGGGATCTCCCCTTCTCAAGGCCCCAGCTTCGAGTTTCTCCTGCAACTCCCAAGGCCCGAGCTGGTGAGGAGGGTGCCAGGCCAGCCAAGGAATCAGTGCGGGTAAAGGAAGAGCGGAAGGAGGAGGCTGCCGCCGCCGCCGCCGCTGCCGCCGCCGCTGCCGCCGCCGCCGCTGCAGCCACCGCTGCCAGCGGGCCTCAGGGCCTTCACCTGCTGTTTGAGAGGCCTCGGCCACCCCCCTTCCTGGGCCCTAGTCCTCCAGAGCGCTGCGCTGGCTTCCTGGAGCCAACTTGGTTGGCAGGGCCCCCTCGCCTTGCTAGGCCACCCCGCTTCTATGAGGCGGGTGAGGAGCTGACTGGACCGGGGGCAGTGGCTGCTGCCCGCCTCTATGGTCTAGAGCCTACCCACCCCCTGCTATACAGCCGCTTGGCTCCTCCACCGCCACCTACTGTGGCCCCAGGCACCTCTCACCTTCTCAGCAAGACCCCACCAGGAGCCCTTTTGGGGGCACCACCTCCACTTGTGCCCGCTCCCCGGCCTGGTTCCCCACCTAGGGCCCCTGGCCCAGCCCGGGCTGACAGGTGAGGGAAGGGCAAAGGCAGGGGCAAAGCTCCATCCCCTTTCCTTTTGACAAGGTTCTAGAGCTGAGGTTTCAAGCCAGGGCTGGAGGGCAAAGGTAATGACCTCACTAGCCAACTCTGAGGTCATAGAACCTGGGAGCAGAAGCCCCAACCCCTGCAAGATCAAGCATCAGATGGATCTTGGGGTCACTGGAGGGCAGAGGTCACAAGCCTCTAGAGAGGATGTGTGTGTGTGTGTGTGTGTGTGTGTGTGTGTGTGTGTGTGCGCGCACGCGCATGTGTGTGTTGTGTCTGTGTGTACATGAGGGGGGGGTCATTTCAGAGGTCATAGCTCATGATCTCCTGAGGTGCACCATTACCTTCTCTGAGGGCCCCTAGGCCCTTGGCCCACCTCCCCAAGGGCTCACTAAGCCAGAGGCCAAAGTGCCCCACCTCCCCTTCACCTACCACCCAAGTCCTCATTGCCCTCAGGGCTGGGGGAGGAGGGGCTAAAGGAAGGGGGGTTCCATGTACATATTTATCTCCCCTTCCACATAGCCCCCAGGACCTTTTGTATTTTTACAGGGGTACCCCTCCCAATAATTCCTTTTCCTGGTTAATTAAATCCTCAGACTGGTGCTGTGTTCCTAGCCTCTGGCCTCTCTCTGGGGGTAAAGGGGATTGCAGGGGAAAGAGCTGGAGGGGACAGTCAGGAACCCAGGGTTTATCCATGGGAATACAGGGTCCAGCAGGAGGCAGACTAACAGGGGAAGGGCCCTGGGTACCTAGGTTGGACAGAAGGGCAAATGTTTCCTGCTTGTCTGACAGCCCAGGTTTCCCTGACTTGTTCCTGTTACTTCTGTGTACTCCATCCCCAAAAGGCTCAACCTCTAAGCTCCAGACTCGACTTCTTAGTGATTCAGTACCCCCACTCCATTTCCAAGTGCCCCCAGGACTCCTGGGCCCTGCTCTCCAGAACCCTGTTCCCCAGACCCCAGCCCTAGGCTAAGGGGGGGACCAGAAAAGGTCATCATGTACTACACACCAAAGAAGGGGGTCGGCCCAGGGGTGGGCTACATAGGCAGCACCTCTTGGCAGCAGCCCCAGCCTTCCCAAAGCAGCAGGCGCCCCCAGGCTGGGGGCCCAGCCTAGAAGGCAAGGGTCAATTTAACAAAAAACATCGACTTTTTTCCCTGGTGGGGCTTATTCTGTAACATGACTTGCAGATATTTATATAAAAATGAGTGTTACAATGAGGCCCCCTGGCTCCTTTCAGTGTGTGTGGGTCACCTGGAAGGGGGTTGGGCTGGGTGCTGGGGTTACGGAGGGTTGACCATACTGTCCATGCACTGATGAAGGTTTTCCCCTCCCTCACACCTGTGTGAATTGTTCTACTTCTGGATAGATGGATTAGAGTGTTGGGCATTGAGATATGTACTATCTTGCAACTACCTATTTACACAACATTATTCTTTGGTGTAATCATTAGAAAAAGCAAGGATCTAAATCCAGGCCACGCATAATTGAATTGTTCCAGCTGTATCCATCTCCTTAGGAAAGATAGCCATTACTCTGCTACCACCAAACACAACAGGGGGAAGACTCAAGTTCAGATTGCACAAACAGAAGTAAAAATAGGTCATCCAGAAGGAGAAACTTAGCTTGCAGACAAGATTTCACACTATATCTGCTTTCCATTTGTCCCCTGAGATGGGGTATATGATCTCCACATTGCCACTGTCCACTCCATTCTATTGCTTAGGAATGGGCTATTTCACTATTCAGGGTGTGGAGCTCTGAAATATTTTCTAGATAAGTATATCCAATCTCTCCTAGATCTCTCCCACAAGTACTTCAGCCACCCCAGTCACCTGGATCTGATGCTGTGCACCCCACCCCTGCCCCATTTCCATTTCTGTGAGTGTTACCAGCACCCATCAGCAACCTTCCTCTTAACTTTACTTGATTCACTGCTTGAACTGCCTTTTATTCTTTCAACCACAGTTGACTTCATCAGGCCAGGCGCTGAACTACAGGCTGGGGATACACAGGTAAACAAAGTCTCACCTTTCCTGGAGCTTAAACAACGGCTGTAAAAGGGGAGCAACAAGCGCATACCGTTGTATGTGAAGGGAAGGAATCCCAAAGGCTATCTTCTTGGGGCCTGGCCTCATAACCACCATGTTCAGTGTTCTGACCCTAACTCAGGGAATCTCCAGACAGAGATAATGGGGAAGTCCATAAATGACAGTTGAACTGTGGAAAAACCAAACCAAACCAAAATCGTTCACCATCATTGAGGCTGCTATTCAGAAATAAGTTTCTTTGTTTTGAAAGAGCTCAGCAGAGTAGCTATGTAATCTTTTTTTTAAAGGTATCATTGATATACAATCTTATGCTCAGTTTTCACATGAGCAAACTTGTGGTTACTACATTCCACCAATTATCAAGTCCCCACCACATACTCCATTACAGTCACTGTCCATAAGTGTACTAAGATGTCACAGAGTCCCTATTTGTCTTTTCTGAGCTACACTGCCCACACACACCATACACCCCACAATCCCCTTCTCCCTCTCTTCCCACCTGCCCTCCCCAACCACTCTCCTTTGGTAACCACTAGTTCCTTTTTGGAGTCTGTGAGTCTGTTGCTGCTTTGCTGCTTCAGTTTTGCTTTGTCATTACACTCCACGAATGAGGGAAATCATTTGGTATTTGTCTTTCTCTGCCTGACTTATTTCACTGAGCATAATACCCCTCTAGTTCCATCCATGTTGTTGCAAATGGTAGGATTTGCTTCTTTCTTATGGCTGAATAGTATTCCATTGTGTATATGTACCACCTCTTCTTTACCCACTCATCTACTGATGGACACTTAGGTTGCTTCCGTATCTTGGCTGTTATAAATAGTGTTATAATAAACACAGGGGTGCATATGTCATTTTGAATATGTGATCCTGTTTTCTTAGGGTAAATTCCTAAGAGTGGAATTTGTGGGTGAAATGGTATTTCTATTTTGAGTATTTTGAGGAACCTGCATACTGCTTTCCACAATGGTTGAACTAATTTACATTCCAACCAGCAGTGTAGGAGGGTTCCCTTTTCTCCACATCCTCAAAAGCATTTGTTGTTTGTCTTTTGGATATTGGCGATCCTAACTGATGTGAGGTGATACCTCATTGTGGTTTTAATTTGCATTTTTCTGATGATTAGCGATGTGGAGCATCCTTCATGTGTCTGTTGGCCATCTGAATTTCTTTGGAGAAGTGTCTGTTCAGATCCGCTATCCATTTTTTAATCAGGTTATTTGCTTTTTGGTTGTTGAGGTGCATGTACTCTTTATACATTTCAGATGTGAACCCCTTATTGGATATGTCATTTATGAATATATTCTCCCATGCTGTAGGCTGCCTTTTTCTACTGATGATGTGTTTTGCTTTACAGAAGCTTTTTAGCTTGATATAGTCTCATTTTTTCATTTTTGCTTTTGTTTCCCGTGCCCAAGGAGATACATTCATGAAAAAGTTGCTCATGTTTATATTCGAGACAGTTTTGCCTATGTTTTCTTCTAAGAGTTTTATGGTTTCATGACTTACATTCAGGTCTTTGATCCATTTTGAATTTGCTTTTGTGTATGGACTTAGACAGTAATCCACTTTCATGTAGCTGTCCAGTTTTGCCAACAGGACAAACATCCAGCTGTTGAAGAGGCTGTCATTTCCCCAATATATACCCATGGCTCCTTTATCATATTTTAATTGGCCATATATGTGTGGATTTATATCTGGGCTCTCCATTCTGTTCCATTGATCTATGGGTCTGGTCTTGTGCCAGTACCAAATTGTTTTGCTTACTGTGGCTTTGTAGTAAAAGCTTTAAGTTGGGGAGCATAATCCCCCCTGCTTTATTCTTCCTTCTCAGGATTGCTTTGGCTATTCGGGGTCTTTTGTGGTTCCATATGAATTTTTTGTTGTTATTAATTTTTTATTAAGGTATGATTGATATAAACTCTTATGAAGGTTTCACATGAAAAAACAATGTGGTTACTACATTTGCCCATATTATCAAGTTGCCACTCATACTGTCCATCAGTGCAGCAAGATGCCACAGATTCACTATGTACCTTCCCTGTATTACACTGTTCTCCCTGTGATCTCCCACACCATGTGTACTAAACATAATACCCATCAATCCACTTCTTCCTCCGCCCCCACCCACCCTCCCACACCCCTCCTTTTTGTAACCACTAGTTTATTCTTGGAGTCTCTGAGTCTCCTGCCATTTTGTTCCTTCAGTTTTGCTTCATTGTTTTACTCCACAAATGAGGGAAATCATTTGGCATTTGTCTTCCTCTGCCTGGCTTATTTCAATGAGCATAATATCCTCCAGCTCCATCCATGTTGTTGCATATGGTAGGATTTGTTTCTTTCTTATGGCTGAATAGTATTTCATTCTGTATATGTACCACCTCTTCTTTATCCATTCATTTACTGATGGACACTTAGGTTGCTTCCATATCTTGGCTCTTGTAAAAGTGCTGCGATAAACATAGGGGTGCATAAGTTTTTTTGAATCTGAGAAGTTGTATTCTTTGGATAAATTCCAAGGAGTGGAATTCCCAGGTCAATTGGTATTTTTATTTTTAGTTTTTTGAGGAACCTCCAGATTGCTTTCCACAATGGTTGAACTAGCTTACATTCCCACCAGCAGTGTAGGAGGGTTCCCCTTTCTCCGCATCCTCATCAGCATTTGTTGTTCTTAGTCTTTTTGATGCTGGCCATTCTTACTGGTGTGGGGTGATATCTCATTGTGGTTTTAATTTGCATTTCCCTGATGATTAGTTGACGAGGAGCATCTTTTCATGTGTCTGTTGGCCATTTGAATTTCTTCTTTGGAGAACTGTCTTTTCATATCCTCTACCCATTTGTTAATTGGGTTATTTGCTTTTTGGGTGTTGAGGCATGTAAGTTCTTTATATATTTTGGATGTTAACCCCTTGTTGGATATGTCATTTACAGATATATTCTCCCATACTGTAGGATGCCTTTTTGTTTTGTTGATGATGTCCTTTGCCATACAAAAACTTTTTAGTTTGATGTAGTCCCAAGAGTACATTTTTGCTTTTGTCTCCTTTTCTTGATGAGATGGGTTCAGGGAGAAGGTGCTCATGCTTATATTCAGGAGATATTTGCCTATGATGTCTTCTAAGAGTTTTATGGTTTCATAACTTACATTCAAGTCTTGAATCCATTCAGACTTTACTTTTGTGTATGGGGTTAAACAGTAATCCAGTTTCATTCTCTTGCATGTACTGTCCAGCTTTGCCAACACCAGCTGTTGAAGTGGCTGTCATTTCCCCATTGTATGTCCATGGCTCCTTTATCATATATTAATTGACCATACATGGTTGGGTTTATATCAGGGCTCTCTAGTCTGTTCCATTGGTCTATGGGTCTGTTCTTGTGCCAGTACCAAATTGTCTTGATTACTGTGGCTTTGTAGTAGAGCTTGAAGTTGGGGAGCATAATTTCCCCTGCTTTATTCATCCTTCTCAGGATTGCTTTGGCTACTCGGGGTCTTTTGTGGTTTCATGTGAATTTTAGGACAATTTTCTCTAGTTTGTTGAAGGATGCTCTTGGTATTTTGATAGGAACTGCATCGAACCTATAGATTGCTTTGGGAAGGATGGCCATTTTGACAATATTAATTCTTCCTATCCATGAGCATGGGATGTGTTTCCATTTATTGGTATCTTCTTTAATTTCTCTTATGAGTGTCTTGTAGTTTTCAGAGTATAGGTCTTTCACTTCCTTGGTTAGGTTTATTCCTAGGTAGTTTATTCTCTTTGATGCAATTGTGAATGGAATTGTTTTCCTGATTTCTCTCTTCTAATTCATTGTTAGTATATAGAAATGCTACAGATTTCTGTGTATTAATTTTGTATTCTGCAACTTTGCTGAATTCAGATGTTAGGTCTAGTAGTTTTGGAGTGGATTCTTGAGGGTTTTTTATTTACAATATCATGTCATCTGCAAACAGGGACAGTTTAACTTCTTCCTTGCCAATCTGGATGCCTTTTTTCTTTGTGTTGTCTTATTGCGGTGGCTAGGACCTCCACTACTATGTTGAATAGAAATGGGGAAAGTGGGCATCCTTGTCTTGTTCCCTATCTTAATGAAAAAGCTTTCAGCTTCTCTCTGTTAAGTATAATGTTGGCTGCAGGTTTGTCATGTGTGGCCTTTATTATGTTGAGGAAC